TTTAGGACGTGGTTGTCATCAAGGTGACCCACTCTCACCATATATTTTTATAATTGGGGTAGAACTTTTATCAATAGCGATTAAAGCTAACAAGGATGTAAAAGGTATTATTATTAATAACAGTGATCTATGTTTGAGTCCGTATGCTGATGATGCTTATTTACTAATGGATGGTTCTGAAAAATCAGATCAATTGTTAATTTGTTAAAACAATTTGCTATCATTTTAGGGTTGAAAGTAAATTTACAGAAATCAAGTTTATATTGGATTGGAAATAAAAAAATTTCAGAGGAACGTATATGTCTGGAGCTGAATTTAAATTGGTCCTCATCTGGGTTTAAATTACTGGGTATAAAATTCTCTTTAAATCTGGAGGAGATGGTTGAAATAAATTTTCGCAAGAAAATACTTCAAATAGAAAAATTAGTTAGGTTTTGGAACAACATAGATATCTCATTGTTTGGTAGAATCACAGTTGTATAAACATTAGTAGTTTCTAAGTTTGTGCATTTATTCACATTATTGCCAAATCCACCAAAACAGTTTCTAGACAAATTAAATAAACTTATTTTCCACTTCATCTGGAATTTTAAGACAGAGAAGATTAAAAGAGACATAGTTATAGGTAAAAAAGAAGAAGGTGGTCTTAGTGTAACGCATATATACTCATCTAATAAATATTCAAAAATGAAATGGATAAAGAAAATTATAACGAGTGTAGTGCTTCTTGGAAATCAATAAAAAATATTCTTCCAGTTAACTCTGATATTTTGTTTGATCTTTATAGTGCGAAGTTCGTAGAATTAGCAAGACATGTAAAAATTTTGGAAAGATGTAATTAAGGCTCTAGCAGAATTATAGTCAGAACCAAAAACTCTTGATGAGTATCTTGGGGAAAGTATCTTAAATCTCAACATTTGAATCTTTTAGACATTTCACACAATGGAAACAACATGGATTAAAGACTATATCTGATATTTTTGATAATCATGGTAATGTTAAAAATTTTTTTGAATTCCAAGGAACACCTGGTTTACACTTTTTAAAATATTATGCACTAGTCAGAAAAGTAGATTGAAAATGGAAACAAGAATATAGGGAAGAACTTCTTAATGGAATAAATGTTAAGCCATTAAAAAGAAAAGACATACTTTCAATGATGTTATCAAAAACCAATTCCAGGGCTCTCGATCTGCCAGATTTGGGGCCGATATTCAGCCCCATTCCCAATGCCAAATAGTATCTTTTTTTCCCAATTTAGACCTCAAGTTCTCCCAATTCTAAGGAAAACACCATTATTTTTCCCAATTCTAAGGGCCCCGGGCCCCAGTCCCAAAATGGGGTGTGAGAGCCCTGAATTCCAAATTTTTATATTCCATCATTACTGCCAAATATGTTCAAACACCAATTAAAAGGCAAGAGAAATGGCAATCAGTATTAAACTTGCAAACCTCTCCCATGGATTGGAGTAGTTTATACAAAAATATATTCAATTATATACAAGAGACAAAATTACAAACATTTCAATATATGATATGTCACAGGATCCTACTAACCAATGATTTATTGTACAAAATGCAGATTGTTCCCAATAACAAATGTACTTTCTGTCAAAGAGAACCTGAAATAATGGAACACATCTTTTCTAAATGTTTTTATTCAGTGCAAATTTTTGAGGAGCTTTACCATTGGTATTCACGCTATGATTCAATTGACCAATATTATTTTAGAGAAATTGACATCTTGTTAGGCAATCAACGGTTCATTAAGCTTTTAAACCACTTTCTCCTCCTCACAAAACATCACATATACTACAGTTAAGATAATTATTTAATACCAAACTTTTTGGCATGTAAATCTATTCTCAAAAAAGTAATGACGGTTGAAAAATTTATTGCCTCAAAGAACAACACTATGAGGGATTTTGAGCAAAAATGGGGAATTTTTTCAGGTCTTCTTTGAGATAATTTATTTTCATTTTCATCTCATATCAAAGTTCTTCAGTTTTTTGTTTTTGAGGTGTCATCGTTTAGGCAATAAATGGATTTATGTCCCTTAAAATTCTCCTTTAATCAAAAGAAATAAGAAACCCTAACCTTCCCCCTAAAGGCCTCCATCATTCCAAAGGTCCTTGTTTGTTATTGCAAGATATTTAGTGTGTGTTATGTGTGAAAGGTGTGTGAACATTTTGATCAACTTGTATAAAACAAAACTATACAATGAAGTGTTTGAAAGTGGTGTGAAAAAAGGCTGGAGACATTTGAAAAAAAAACTATGGTAAAATAGACTATGTAAATATTTATATTTTGTACGTATGAATGGTGTTTGCGAGAACCTTTTGTGGAGAGGGCATTATTTGTAAGGGACTGACCCCAGGGCCCAACCCTGACAGTCTCAATTATCGCTGGAATAATAAAATATTTGTGTTAAAAAAAAAAAAAAAAGTACTTTCAGAAGAAGGTAAGATTTCCGAGTTACATACTAGATGCAGATTAGAATCATATTTTCTGCCTTTCAAAATTTACAAGACACAATAGAAACCATACCTGTACAGGTTTACAAAATTATGATATGAGAATTATGAAATACTAAAGCAATTGTTTTTGTAGGATTTTTCAGGTGAGTCAAGATAACCATTCAAAAAACAAATTGATAGGTCCCATTCCTAAGATATTATAAGTTCTTAAAATTTCACTTTATGCTAGTCTCATAGGAAAAGGATAAGTACTGAACTCATATATCCAAATCCCAAGATTCCCTGTGAAGTCAAAACTATTTCTAATTAAGTGAATAAGGGTATATCATGTGTATACATGTAGGTTTTCTAATCTGTCTGCGCTGTAAGATGTCAACACCATTTAACACAGTATTGGCAATAACTGAAATTGTAGTGCAACAATCAATAAAGTTTCATGGTTCAATCACACAAGTATAATTTTGATTTATCAAGCAGCTAGCATAAAAACAGCAACCTATCGTACAACAGAAAAATAGTTTATCACAAATGCAATAATGATGTATCATAAAAATTAACTGTAATCAGCTAGGCAACATACATTATACACCTCGTTTTCCAATAATCATAATGATTGTACATGTAATGATATGAATTGAAACTCTAAGAACATGTATAAAGTAAAACTCGTTTAGAATTAATTATATCTAGAGTTAAAATTGAATAAGTTATCAGACCATAAACAATTATATCTAGAATTAAAATTAGTTGATAAACAATGTCATGTTAGCAAGTGCTATTAAGATTACAATTATATATTATCATTGATTTGTGGTTCACATGGCATTTAACTTGTGTAGTAGTTAGTGGTATAGTTGTTATTATTGTTTGTTGGGTTTACCACCGTTTCAACAGCCAGGATCATTTTGAGGTGGGGTCTCCTAGTAGCTTCAGATGGCTACCTCACTGAACAACATACTGTGAGCCCATCGCTTATATCCAGACCAATTACAGTATAGTGTCTTGCCCAAGGACACAACCATGACAGCACAGACTGGTCCATTTCTAGGTAGGGAGTGTCAAACCCTGAACCTTGGATGTTTCTCCTGAGACTACTTAGGTGAACATTGTAACTGGCTGAGCCATCATATCCTCATTATACTTTATTAACATGACGCATATTATAATATAATGACATCAGTAATGAATAGTTTACAATAACATTATTTTAAACTGTTATTGGTTTGGTTTGTTAAACATCCCATCAACAGCTGGGGTCATTAAGGACAAATTCCCAATGTATGCGAAGTGAGTTTGTGTTCATGGCATGTGTATTTGGGGTAAAAACATATCTATGAACATATAATGTTCATGAAATTACAGTTATACTTGTGAAGGATTTTACATAGTAACAATAGATAAACTCATACTGTGAACTACTATAAATTTCTGTAAGTAAGGGTTTCATAAATCAAATCTATGGAATTTGCAACACTCAACAGGGTTATAAAAACCCAGATTTTGTCTTCCAATACGGAAAACCAAACTTTTTAACACAAAGCAGTTGCCCTTGCATAATACAAACTGCACTGTTTGTCTGCATTACTATAGGTAATGTCAAACTTACCTGATATTTATCAAACTTCTGTAATGATCAGTACACCAATCAATGATGGGAATTTACACACTAAAGTATCGAAAATAAATTGAGATATCTAACAAAAATCTAGATTAAGTTTGATGGCTCACAGATTAGAATAAAATTAAGTGGGTTATAAATCTGTATACTACACTGTTCAGAATTTAAAGTAGAACAGTATCAATCCCTGTATATACATTGGTATCTACCATATTTGCCATATTTCAACATGAGGATAAGAAACCCTTCATGTGCCCTTCTTTTTGACAATTTTATAGATTAAATATTTCTCAGTCCAGTGTTTCATTACTCATTAACACAAACCTGATATTTCAAGTCAATAGAAGTTCAAAAGATTAATTCCTTTCACAGAAAATACTATTAAAAATATGAAAAAAAAGACAAGTATAGCTGGATTATAGATCCATCGTATATTTTTCCTCAACAGGTATTACTGACACATAAACAAGACTCTAGAAGATTTTCAAGACAGCAGGTTATGTTATGCCAGGTTTACAGTCTAATGCATACCATCCCATGATGTATGTGCATTATGTCGTAAACATACTACACATAGAGTTGGTATATATATTAACATGTGATATGTTCATCACAAAAGCTCTATTCTTTTAATTTGTCAATAGATGTCGAGTAATTGTATTAGTATACTGTGTATACTTAAAGGTAGTCAAGCATAAAAATGTAAACTTTTTCAAACAATACACATTTGGCCAGCTATAGGGCCTTTTGTTGTCACTGTACAATACACAGGGATTCATGACTACTCATTAGAATGATGGCCTTTGTTCGATCATTCAACTTGATAGGTTAGGAGAATATAAAATTTTGCTGATAACAGAAATAAATGAACTGTGGTGATCTTTTGAAGAAATGTCTTGTACCTACCTGTGATTTTGGTATCAAAGCTGGTAATGATGTACGTCTTGCCGATCTATGAGCGGAAAACGCATGTGCACTTGAAGAACTTGATCGTCGTCTCTTTATGACCGATATTTTCCCATCGTGTGTCATGAAGTTATTTATCGGAGGCTTTAATATTGTTTCCATATATTTAGATATGATAATTCCAACAAGACCACAAATGTAAGCCAAATATGGTCTGAGACTTGAAGGCAAATCGCCTAAAGATGAACATGCCAAAAATCTGCTGAAACTTACAAGTGTTATGACCACAGCACTGTGTATAGTTTCCAGAGACGAAAATACACTAGCAGTGCAAACGGAAAAGAGCACAATAAAAACTACAAAGGGCTGTGTTGTTGGACTGAAAGAGGTTATTTCTCCACCCCCTCCAGTGTCCTGAGGGGGAGAATTTCCTGTGCCCCCAAACCAGTTGCTGATGAGAATTTGAGCTATGGTCTCTCCCACAAAACAAGATGAAAATAGAAAATAAACACTTGTCGTGTTCCAACTTTGTCTTAAATAAAGTGACAACCAGTAGAAACAACACATTATTGTAAACATTGGTACAAGCACCCCACATAGTCGTTGAAAATACGAACCAAGATCGCATTTCACAAGTTGGTAAAATAACACACTGCCTAGGAGAATGACTATTCCATATGCTGCTCCGACTTGCTGGGTCGAGAAATTGTGTATACCAAACCAATTCAGCATAAGATTAAAATGTCCTTGTTCGAGAGGTTTTACCAGTATTTGTATATATCCATTATTGTCCGTTTCGCCGTCGTCTTTCTGTGAATCGTTCTTAGATCCCCTTCTGCTGGACATAGACGAGCGATGAAGAGCCATTTTCGTCTCTCGGTCTACCACATTACAGGAATTATGGGTAATAATTCAAGACAGGCCCCCTAGCGGCAAAGGTCATCAAAACACGGAAGTAGTAGTATAAAGGTACTTTCACTATCACTTGTGTTACTTGTCTAGAGATCAGGATTGATGACAATATTTTCAAGGGTCAGATTCAGATTGCAACACTCATCTCCGCGTAACACGTCCGTTGTCTTCTCGACAACGAATACCAGTGTATTTGCCGACAAGTGCGCAACGAGAAAGACGCGATCACAAAAGGGGAAATCTGGAAAATCAATACCGAGTACTATATGATCTGAAGTCGGTTACTTACGTTGTGAAAATGTATGTTTGAACACATGTGAACATCATACACGTTACTTGTTAACGCGTTTTGTAATTGTTTCTCTTCCCCGTTACTAGTCATGCTACGTTACATGGCAGTGTGTCAGTAATTACACAAACAAATTCCTCTCATGTTTGTGCCAAGCCAACTGAGACTCCTTTTTTGCCAACTTTTACACATAGGAATAATTATGACAAGTGTTTGCCTCCTACTTCCTCAAATTTTGCGGCATATTCCTGGGATTTTCTTACGCCAATTAATTCTACAAAGATGTCAATAACGTTATACTGAACTGAAAATAAATATTATGGTATAATACATTTTGCTGAATGAAAAAAAAAATCAAAAGTGACGTAAAATTAAGAACAGAAATAAACCTCGAAAATGCCATAATTCGATTATTATACGACAGATTTGATGCTGCAACAGAGAGTGTAAGTGTTACATATATCAACCTGACGATTGATTAAATTTGTTTTCATTCACTCAGTAAACCCCCCCTTCCCATCCCTATCATTAACAACAAACAAATACTGAAATTGATAACACAAAAGCAATGATAATATTTTTTTATGATGAACTATGTATAGCAACTTAACCTTAAATGGAAATAGGAAGATTTTAAATAATATCAACAATTATCTAATAAATGATTTAAAACATTACCAACATTTAATAAACACGTAAAACATCGACAGCGTTTTGTGTCTAACATGAAATGTTGTTAATCGATAATTTGTATCATAATTTGTAACTGGAGATAGCAAACATATTTTTGCATGTTTCCCTACGAAAGAATTTTTCGGTGAACTATTATCAAATGTTTGTTTTAAAAATCACAAGCATCATCAATATGCGAGTAAAACGATAAAGGTAGTCGCTTGATGTATGGCTACGAAAATGAGCATTTTACTTACATTACATGTTACAGAAATAAGGAAATGTCTCAGGCAAGAATTTTGGCCTTTTCAAAGACAGCATATTTTATAATAAACACGCTCAAATTTACAATTTTTCTCCCGCCAATGTTTGTTTAGGTTAAAGATAAACGTCACGCCAGTTCACTCCATGCTACAATGGTATTCCAATGTTTATAGATTTTATCATCAGGGAACTATGGTATTTGAAAGTTAAAAAAAATCAGAAAAAATTATTAGATAATTCCATTTAGAGCAATTCCAAATCTAGTGACGATTTCCTATAATGACATTTTTTTTCTGGGCTGTTATAACTATTATTGCATCATAAAACGTAAGCACAGTAGAAAAAATTGTTCCTCGAAAGATCTTAACATGAGCTTCTGTCAGCCATAAAGGTACGGCATCTTTGTTTCATTCGTATTTAATGAAAGTGACGTGTATGTTTCCAAGGAAACCAATTTCCTCAACAACATATTGACAAAGGTACATTTGCATTTAAACTGTTACAGTTCTATTTCAAAAGCAAAAGTATACAATCAAACTTAATGCTGGGAAAATCACTGTACCAAACAGACTAAATGACTGAACGGAATGCGTCTAGGGTTTGGAGATAAATCAAATCCAACCTCGCTTCTGAACAAACCTAATTTGTCTGCCTCGGTTTTGTTGTACACGCAAACAATGGCATGAGACGGTGACGTTTTCCTTGACGAATATAAGATACGAAATTAAACTTAATTTGGTGATTCGGAAATTATATTTCCTACATGCAAAGAAGTATTTATATTTCTTCGCTAGCGGTGCAATTTTGTTTGTAGTTTATCTGAAAACGGTGTCCACGGCACACTGTGTCACTGATGGTCACTTTTATATAGTGCCATCACAATGAAGTGACCTGGACATGATGCGAGTCCAAGGTTGTATTCCTTGCCATTTGCATTTCTAAATATATCACATGAATGATATAGGGAACATTTGTTAGCCACAGTTTGCACAGGCCATCTAAAACTACCGAAACATGCCTGGTTTAAATTGTTTTTAAATCCTCAAACAAAATGGCCAGCAGGTTAATGAAATGCATTTTCTCGCTGTTTAAAAGGTTTTTCAAAATCCTCACACAAAATGGCCAGCAGGTCAATGAAATACATTTTCATTAAAGTATGCATTTAATAATTGTGATAATTTATTGAGCAAGAGGCATCAAGTCATCCACTTAATGCATTCTATACATATAGGGATGTCCATAAAGACGGGACGCTAGTAATTAATTTCAATTAATGACGCTTGGGATATTCCTTGCCCAAAGGAAGGATTGACCTATGGCGTGCAGATTTGATTCCGACAAAAATCGCTGGTGTCTTCAACATGTGTACATTTACCAACTGCTAGACAGACAACTCGAACGTAGCGAAACAAAGAGGGTAAGGCACAACAAACAAGTCGAGCATAGAGAACAAGACAAATACGTCGACCATAGAGAACTAGACAAACAAGTCCAGCAAAGAGAACTAGACAAACAAGTCGAGCAAAGAGAACTAGACAAACAAGTTGAGCAAAGAGAACTAGACAAACAAGTCGAGCAAAGAGAACTAGACAAACAAGTACAGCAAAGAGAACTAGACAAACAAGTCAGGCATAGAGAACAAGACAAATAAGTCCAGCAAAGAGAACTAGACAAACAAGTCAAGCATAGAGAACAAGACAAATAAGTACGGCAAAGAGAACTAGACAAACAAGTACAGCAAAGAGAACTAGACAAACAAGTCAAGCAAAGAGAACTAGACAAACAAGTCAAGCAAAGAGAACAAGACAAATAAGTACGGCAAAGAGAACTAAACAAACAAGTACAGCAAAGAGAACTAGACAAACAAGTACGGCAAAGAGAACTAGACAAACAAGTCGAGCAAAGAGAAATAGACAAACAAGTACAGCAAAGAGAACTAGACAAACAAGTCAAGCAAAGAGAACTAGACAAATAAGTTCAGCAAAGAGAAATAGACAAACAAGTCGAGCAAAGAGAACTAGACAAACAAGTCAAGCATAGAGAACTAGACAAACAAGTCCAGCAAAGAGAACTAGACAAACAAGTACAGCAAAGAGAACTAGACAAATAAGTCAAGCAAAGAGAACTAGACAAACAAGTCGAGCAAAGAGAACTAGACAAACAAGTCAAGCATAGAGAACAAGACAAATAAGTTCATCAAAGAGAACTAGACAAACAAGTCAAGCAAAGAGAACTAGACAAACAAGTACAGCAAAGAGAACTAGACAAACAAGTCGAGCAAAGAGAACTAGACAAACAAGTCGAGCAAAGAGAACTAGACAAACAAATCGAGCAAAGAGAACTAGACAAACAAGTCAAGCAAAGAGAACTAGACAAACAAGTCAAGCATAGAGAACTAGACAAACAAGTCCAGCAAAGAGAACTAGACAAACAAGTCAAGCAAAGAGAACTAGACAAACAAGTACAGCAAAGAGAACTAGACAAACAAGTCGAGCAAAGAGAACTAGACAAACAAGTCAAGCATAGAGAACTAGACAAACAAGTCGAGCAAAGAGAACTAGACAAACAAGTCAAGCAAAGAGAACATGACAAACAAGTACAGCAAAGAGAACTAACCAAACAAGTCAAGCAAAGAGAACTAGACAAACAAGCCGAGCAAAGAGAACTAGACAAACAAGTGGAGCAAAGAGAACTAGACAAACAAGTCAAGCAAAGAGAACTAGACAAACAAGTCAAGCATAGATAACTAGACAAACAAGTCAAGCATAGAGAACAAGATAAATAAGTCGAGCAAAGAGAACTAGACAAACAAGTCAAGCATAGAGAACTAGACAAATAAGTACAGCAAAGAGAACTAGACAAACAAGTCAAGCATAGAGAACTAGACAAAGAAGTCCAGCAAAGAGAACTAGACAAATAAGTTAAGCATAGAGAACTAGACAAACAAGTCGAGCAAAGAGAACTAGACAAACAAGTGGAGCAAAGAGAACTAGACAAACAAGTCAAGCATAGAGAACTAGACAAACAAGTCAAGCATAGAGAACAAGACAAATAAGTCCAGCAAAGAGAACTAGACAAACAAGTCAAGCAAAGAGAACAAGACAAACAAGTACAGCAAAGAGAACTAGACAAACAAGTACAGCAAAGAGAACTAGACAAACAGGTCAAGCAAAGAAAACTAGACAAGCAAGTCAAGCAAAGAGAACTAGACAAATAAGTACAGCAAAGAGAACTAGACAAACAAGTACAGCAAAGAGAACTAGACAAACAAGTCAAGCAAAGAGAACTAGACAAATAAGTACAGCAAAGAGAACTAGACAAACAAGTACAGCAATGAGAACTAGACAAGCAAGTCCAGCAAAGAGAACTAGACAAACAAGTACAGCAAAGAGAACTAGACAAACAAGTACAGCAAAGAGAACTAGACAAACAAGTCAAGCAAAGAGAACTAGACAAACAAGTCAAGCAAAGAGAACAAGACAAATAAGTACGGCAAAGAGAACTAGACAAACAAGTACAGCAAAGAGAACTAGACAAACAAGTCAAGCAAAGAGAACTAGACAAACAAGTCAAGCAAAGAGAACAAGACAAACAAGTATAGCAAAGAGAACTAGACAAATAAGTCAAGCAAAGAGAACTAGACAAACAAGTCGAGCAAAGAGAACTAGACAAACAAGTGGAGCAAAGAGAACTAGACAAACAAGTCAAGCAAAGAGAACTAGACAAACAA